GAGGGCCAAGTAACTGCAAGACCCAACATGGTTGGAACATGCATGAAGAAAATGGTGCAGAGAGAACCCACCATCCCCAGGAGACGCTTCACAGCCGCCCCCACCTCCTCCTCACGTGGCCTCTTCCTCTTCTGAAAAATAAAATAAACCTTCATTACTTTCCCTCTGTACGTAAAATGGCATTTCTTTACTTTCAAACCGTTGTTTACTACTTGTCTAAAATTGTTTCCAATGTTTCATTAAAATGTTTTTTCAACTGTGCAAATTGCTGTCTTGGTTCAGGATGGAGGAAGCTATGATTCCTCATTAAAAATAATGAAAATAATTTTGATGTAACAGCTTTTAACCCAACAGTGGGTTCCCAGAACTGAGGGCGTCAAGTGAGGGACAGTGGGCAGTGAAAACCTGGCACCACGGCCCCGGAGTCTCAAGGTGCTCTCATCAAAGACAAACCACGCCCCGTTTCACACGTCCCTCTGGGGGGTCCGCGCACAGACAGGGAGACACACGCGCGACGTCTCCGTGCTTTCTTTTCTTGGGATGATAGCACACTGCCCACTTGTTCTCCCACCTGGGTTTCTCCTCATAAACACGCCATCTGGGTTTACTCTGTGATCCAGCAATCCTACTCCTGGGCGTATATCCAGAAGAAACTGTAATTCCAAAAGACACATGCACCACAATGTTCATAGCAGCAGTGTTTACAACAGTGAAGACATGGAAACAACCTAAACGTCCATCGACAGATGACTGGGTAAGAAGCTGCAGTGTATTTATACAATGGAACACTACTCAGCCATAAAAAGAATGAAATAATGCTATTTGCAACAACATGAATGGACCTGGAGATTGTCATTCTAAGTGAAGTAAGTCAGAGAAAGACAAATTGTATATTCACAATGTGGTGGTTTATGGTGTGTTCACAGAGTTGTGCAGGCAGCCCCACTGTCCATTTTGAAGACCGTTTTTTGTTGTTGTTATCACAGAAGCCCCTCCACACTAGCAGTCACTCTCCATCCTCATCTCCCCCAGCCCCTGGCAACCACTAATCTGTTTTTCTGTGTCTATGAATTTGCCTGCTCTGAACATTTTATATAAATGAAGTCATACTATATGTGGTCTTTTATGGCTGGCTTCTTTCACTTAATGTTAATGTTCTCAAGGTCTCACCCGTGTGATAGGTAGTCCGTGTTCCTGCCCCATTCCTTTTCACGACTGAGTAATATTCCACTGAGGGTATCCACTCAAAGGATACCCACCTTTGGGTATCCACTCATCAGTTGAGA